ACCAGGCTGTCGAGGTCTTTGGAGGGGCCAGCAAGGCAGCCTTCACTGCCTGCGACGAGGGGAGGAAGGCGTGAACGACACTCTCAGCTCCAGGCTGCCCTTCCAACCCTCCCAGATCAACGAGACCCTCTCACCACCACCACCACCCTATGATGGGGCGATGTTCGAGGCCTTCAGGGGAGGTCCCACGGCAGCCCCTCGCTCCTCCTGCCTCTCACCTTGCCCTGTTTTGTTTTGGGCCCCGGGCACTGGGGATATGGGGGGGCTGGGAGTGGGACATCCCCTACACTTCTTTATTTTCATCGCCCTGACGTCTGGTTTTGTGAGCCTGCTCCCTCCGAGCCCTTCTTCTCCATCAGCCGTTCTCCAGAATCGTCCTCCCCCCATAGGATGAAAAAAGTCCTGTGAGTGGGATCTATTTCTTATATTTTAAGCCTTCCCTGTGCCACATAAGGCAGGGAAAGAGGGTCAGAGACTCGTCCTCGTGCACCCAGCCCTGGTCAGGGTGGAGGAAATGAAGCAAAAGTGAGGAAAAGGGGCACGGGGAGACGTGTGCCCCATTGCCCCCCAGCCTTTTGGGGCTGAGCTACTTGCAGGGGTGCTGGCCTCACCCGTGCCTCGGCCCCTGCTTTGAGCTGGCTGGGGCTGGGGATGCTGGTGGCCTCGGAGAGTGCCTGAGGATGTGATGTTTCCTTGCTGGTGTCTCAATATGTCTATGCCAGGGTTTTTTTTGGGGGGGTCTCACGATGTGATGTCCAGCTTCCAGCACTCCTCCAAGCCCAGCATGTCCCACTTTGCACCTCCTGCCCAGGGACCAGGGGGCAGAGGGGACAACCCACCAGGGTGGGGGGAATGCAGTGGGGATGCAGTGCAGCCTCTGTGCCGAGTGGGAAACACTGTGATCTTCATGCCACCCCTCCCACCCCCCCAGTCGCTCGCTTGTGCGTGGCCGTGTCGTGTTGGGACGTTTCTTTTGTAACGCTGGCTGTGGGCAATAAACGTGGCGTGTCTGTCAGAGCCTCGTGGGGCTGCAAACCTGGTGGAAAAAGAAGGCAAAAATCCCTGTGGGGATATTGGGTGTATGCCTGGAGGAAGGCAGCAGAGCTCTGGGAGCTCAGGGCTGCAGGATGCTCTGCAGCTCTCACCTAAGGCTCTCTCCTGGGGGCTTGGAGGCAATTGGGCTGAACGGGGGACATGGAAAGGCTATAATTTACCCAGGCATTTTAAAGGCTTATGGCAAACTCCCCCGAATAAGGCTCTTAAGGAAATGAAGTCATTATGGAGAGATTAAAAACTAGTTAAGAGGCAGGAAATCAAGAATGGGAATAAATATTTGATTTCCATTCTCAGTGAGGCCTCAGCCCTAATGTTCTGTGGCTGCGTATTCTGTAACTGGGTGGAGAAGGAGAAGCAAGGTGTGGGTTTTGGTTATCTGTGCCCTATGAGAAGCAAAAACTGGTTATGGGGTTTAGGAAAGCAGCTGGGGAGATGGCAGGAGGTGAAAAAATCGATGGGGTTGCAAAGAATAATTGCAGTGGCTTACAGATGCTGCTGGCTTCTAAATTAAGCAGAGCCACTGAGGAAAAGAGCTGTGTCTCTCTGAGGGCAGCATGCTGGAAAACAATGCTTTGTGCACTAAGACAAGGGAAAATGAGACGGTTCTTAGGAGGGTTAATGAAGGAGAGGTGTAACAGCTGTGCTGAGAGCACACTATGGCCCGGCACCTCTTCCTAAAAGAGGGTTTAAAGCAAAGACATATTGGATGCTGACACTATTAATTATGAGGCTCTGAAGCCATTAATTACAAGGCTTGAGGAGGAAACGCCATAATTCCCAAGCTGGGAGCTGGGCTGCAATGTGTCCCAGTGGGTGCCACCACGATGAGCCCACTTTGTCCTAACGATGGGGGGCTGCTCTAATTGCCTCCATGTCCTCCTGCAGGCAGGGAGGCTCAGCGGGACGCTGCAGCAGGGCTGTGCTGTGGTGACATACAGCTGGCTGTGTCCCCATTTCCCAGCCAATGATGGGCACTGCAATGCAACCTGATGCCGCCGTGCATCAGTGGCACGTTGTTGTTTTACCAGCACAGAGGTATGAATTCAGGCTTTGCTGAACAGTGCCAGGGTTTCCCATGGGGAACATTTCCCCTCCTCCCCCGGCTACCGTGGAACCACACTGATCAAAACCAAAGCACAATTAATTGCAGGCAACATCACGCAAACACTCGCATACAACACACAGCCTCAGACGGAGCTCGCACCGACTCACTGCTTCCCAGCAAAAGTGGGTGAACTACACAGGGATTAAAGCATTAAAAAAAGCACAGAAAGAATACGGTGCTTGAAAGCGCTGTATCCCCAGAGAGATTAGAGTAGCTGCCTGGAGATAGGGTAATGATGGAAAGATCTTCTTCCCAGAGATTCTGTTCCTAATTATCTCCTTTGCACACACACACACACACACAAAAAGGCTGATCTCCCAGCTTTTATCTTTCTCTCGATGGTTTTAGTGCCTCGTTGCAAGAGGCCCATGCCTGCAAAGGAGAAAAAGGAAAAGGAATCGGCCCCAACTGCAGGAAGACTGCAACTGTCATGGAGGGAGGGGACTGGAGGCAGCATTTCATTTCTGTCACCGGCAGCAATGAAGGCAAAGGGAAGAGAAATGATCACTGCAACACTGTCCTCCCAGCGCTGTCAGGGCAATAGCAGCCCTGGGCTCTGCTTGGATGGATGGGTGTTGGGTGAGTAGGGCTGCCTTCACTCTGCAGCTGCTGGGAGGACATTTCACATACACACCAACAGGATACCATGTGAACAATCTGGCCCTGGACATGTCCTGCACGACAAGGATGTGCCCTGATGGAGAGCCAGACATCACTCTTGGTGACCTGGGAGTAGAAAGTGTGATCCCAGAGCTGTATTTTCCTTCACCTGTATTAATTTTAGACTGAGATTTTGGGCCCATGAGAACCTAATGAGGTTCTGCAGGGTCAATGCAAGGTGTTGCATGTGGGTCAGGGCAGATATGAGTATGAACTGGGAGAAGAACTTGTTGAGAATAGCCCTGCAGAGAAGGACACAGAGGTGCTGGGGGATGAAAAGCTGAACATGAGCCAGCAGTGTGCCCAGGTGGCCAAGAAGGCCAATGGCATCCTGGCTTGTATCAGAAATGTTGCAGCCAGCAGGAGCAGGGAGGTGACCGGATCTCTGTACTCAGCTCTGGTGAGGCTGCACCTTGAGTTCTGTGCTCAATTCTGGGCCCCTGACTAAAGAAAGACATGGAGGCCCTGGAGTGTGTCCAGAGAAGGGCAGTGGAGCTGTGAGGGGTCTGGAGCACGAGTCTGATGGGGAGTGGCTGGAGGAACTGGGGATGTTCAGTCTGGAGAAGAGGAGCTCAGGGGAGACCTCATCACTCTACAGTGACTTGAAAGGAGGTGCTCTTTAACATCTTTACCAATTACATCAATGATGGAATCGAGTGCACCCTCAGCAAGTTTGCTGATGACACCAAGCTGAGTGGTGCAGTTGACACGATGGAAGGAAGGGATGCCATTCAGAGGGACCTCAACAGGCTTGAAAGGTTGGCCCAGGTGAACCTAATGAGGTTCAACACAGCAAAGTGCAAGGTTTTGCATTTGGGCTGGAGGAATCCCAGGTATCTATACAGACTGAAAGGAGCAATCCTTGAGAGCAGCCCTGTGGAGAAGTACCTGGGGGTCTTGATGGATGAAAAGCTTAACATGAGCCAGCAGTGTGCTCTTGCAGCTTGGAAAGCAAATGGTATCCTGGGCTCCATCAGACGAGGGATGGCCAGCAGGGACAGGGAGGTGATTGTCCCCCTGTACTCTGCTCTTGTGAGGCCCCATCTGCAGTACTGTGCCCAGGTCTGGAGCTCTCAGTACAAGAAAGACAGGGAGCTATTGGAGAGGGTCCAGAGGAGAGCCACCAAGATGATCAGGGGATTGCAGCACTTCCCCTATGAATACAGGCTGAGGGAGCTGGGCTTGTTCAGCCTGGAGAAAAGAAGGCTGCGGGGTGACCTCATGGCAGCCTTTCAGTACCTAAAGGGAGCCTACAGACAGGAGGGGAATCAACTCTTTGAAAGGGTAGATATGTGTAGGACGAAGGGAAATGGTTTTAAGTTGAGGGAGGGGAGATTTAGGTTGGATGTCAGGGGGAAGTTCTTTACAGACAGAGTGGTGAGGTGCTGGAACAGGCTGCCCAGAGAGGCTGTGGATGCCCCGTCCCTGGAGGTGTTCAAGGCCAGGTTGGATGGGGCCCTGGGCAGCCTGGTCTAGTATGAAATGGGGAGGTTGGTGGCCCTGCATGTGGCAGGGGGTTGGAGATTCATGACCCTTGAGGTCCCTTCCAACCCTGGCCATTCTGTGATTCTGTGAGGTTGTGATGAGGTGGAAGTAGGCCTCTGCTACAAGGTAACAGTGATAGGATGAGAAGGAATAGCCTCAAATTGCACGAGGGGAGGTTCAGGTTGGATAAGAGGAAAGATTTATTCTGCATAAGAGCAGTGTTGCAGTGGCACAGGCTGCCCAGGGAGGTGGTGCAGTCACCGTCCCCGGAGATGTTCCAGAACCGTGTGGATGTGGCACTGAGGACATGGTCAGTGGGCATGGTGGGGGTGGGCTGGCGGTTGGGCTGGATCATTCATGCCTTTCCGACCTAAATGTGTCTGCGATCCTACTCAGAACTAAAGGCGGAACCACATCCCCAAACACGCTCCGCATCGAAGCCACTCCCCGCCCCCACCCCCAGGCGGTGGCTCAGCACAGGCACGCCGCAGACACCCCACGCCGCGCGGTCCCAAGCCCCCTCCACCAATAGGGTGAGCCGGGCGGCGCGCTGGCAGCCAATGGGCGGCGGGGAGGCGGGGCTTCCGGTGGCGGTTGCTAAGACAGCCGGGGCTCTTCCTTAGCAACCGGTGCGGGCCGCGGCGGCGGCGTTAGGTGAGGCCGCGCTCCGCTCCCGGCCCTCTTTTCCTCCCTCCCGGCGCAGCTCTTCGGGCTCTGGAGCCACGCGGCCGGTGCTGTGGCGTGCTTTACCGAGCCGCCCCAGCCAGGCTGCCCTCAGACCAAGCGGGAGGGGAGGCACCTCGCTGTGAGCGAGAGAGCCGGGGCAGGCCGCAGGGGAAGGCTCGGAGTTGGCTGGGCTGCCGTGCCCAGGCTGTGGTTGGCTGATTTGCCTGAAGCAGCGGCCTGGTGCTTTCCTGCACGGGAATCCCCAGCTGACAGATACCTTGGGGGTGAGAATAGCGAGTGCCCCAGCGAGGGCTGAGGTGTTCTGTTGAATACCAGATCCTGTTCCTCAAATACACGTGCACTTTGTGGTGTACCAGACTGGTCATGGTTGATGCCCTCTCGTTGCTTGTGGGAAGCGTTGCCCTGACTTGGCACGTCCCTCAAACTGGGCTGGTGCTTCTGGGAAATGCTGCCATCCTGAAGTCTCGCTTATGGGAAATGATACGTTTTTAAAATTTGTTTGCATTAATGTGTTGTGTGACAGCTCTCTGATTGCATGGGATGTGAAGAAGTTACTGTGATACAGTAAGTGGAGGTAGGGACAGCATTCTTGTAATAGTTTTTGCCTTCCATTTTAATGCAAAGCTTTCTTCTCGTCTCCTATTTGTTGTTTGTTTGTTTCTGTTTAAGCGGTGTCCTCTGGGCTGGGAAGCTTCCCCTTCTGCTGATCCTCAGAGGCACACTCCCTGAGCCATCTGCACTGCAGGGCCTTGCTGATCTCCATCTCAGACCCCTGCCCCTTCACGGGGTCACTGGGGAAAGACCATGGCCGACACTGGGGAGGGGAAGAAGGAGGAAGCTGATTATAAAAGACTGCACAGCTTTCCACTGATTAGGGTAAGAAGGAAAATGAGTTATGTCTTTAGCAGTGTTACAGATATGCAGTGCTACCTTTGTTCTTCCCTACCTTCCAGAATAAGATTTCTTCCACTGACAGCTGCTGTGGGAGCTGTGCTGTACCCTACCTGTTCCTTGATTCAGGACTGATTCAGTCACCACCATTTCTTCTGCCTGTCCGTCAGGCAAGGAAATCAGTCAGCCAGGGGAGCGTGGCACAAAGCAATCATCTAATGTTCCACACATGCCACCTTTGGTGCCCTCTGCTCACGTTGCTAGACACAACTTGTTTTTATTCTGTGTAGAGGAGCAGGAATAAATGATCTTAGCCAGCTAGATAGCAGAAAAGACTGTGTAATTTAGACTTCTGTTATGCTTATAGCCATAATTAAGGACGGTTGAAACAGTGCTGTCTTTCTCTTCATTTTAGCACTGAAAAACTATTTATCTCCTCCTTTAAGCTATGCTTACTTTTATGCTAGCCTTACATTTGGAAGAGAACAATTTTGCATGGACTGGGACAAAGGAAAGAATGGACAGTCTGTACAGTAATAAGCCATTTTCACATTAATCATTCTAATGCTTGGTATTGTGACAAGCCTGTATCGCTGATGATGTTCTGCTTTAAGCTAACATTGAACGTCACGTGGAGGAGCTGCCTTGTGTCCGTGCCAGCAGTCTGGGCTCTGTGACAGCGTGGGCAACAGAAGGGCTGTTTTCTGTTGTCTTCTGTCTAGCCTTTCTTTTTCTGCTCAGTTCCTCTTTCTTGTTTGCTCGTTGCAGCACACAGACATGCCGGAGGAGATGCGCGTAGAGGCCATGGAGCTGTGTGTCACAGCGTGTGAGAAATATGCCACGAACAATGAGGTATGAGCTGAATCCACCAGGCCAACCTTTCGTTGCTGCAGCTCAAGGAATCTGCAGGAGCAGGGCTGGAGCTGTAGGGCACAGCAGAATCACATACTGACAGATTACTCAGTTTCTGTTCTGGGCAAGGGCAGAAAGAGACAGCTTGGCTAGATCTCAGATTTAGTTGCTTTTGTGAGTGAGATCTGGACTAGCTGTTTGCTTTCATGCAGGAAGCAAAGATGAGTCACAGAGCGATGCCGCCTCACAAACCTTATCTCCTTCCTTCTCTGTGAGCTTCCTCTCTGTTCATAAAATGTCCCGTCTGTCCTGAGGGCCTGTCCCAAAATGTGGGTCCATCTGTCAGCATTGAGCAAGATCATCCCCATCAGGGCAGGGAGGAGACTCTTATTTTGGAAACGAGCAAATTAAGCTCTTTGAATCTTTAGGTACAGCCTGTTCAGTCTTCCCTGTCAGCTTTCAGCCTCTTGAATGAAATTACTGAGAATGTGTAGATGGGGTGTGATGGAGGAGTTACAGTCTTTTGAAATATTACCCTCATCTTTGAGGTAGAAAGATGAATGAGAACATACTTGCTCAATGGGCAGGGCACAGATTGCTTGTGCTAGAGGAGCTCTGTGCTGGTGAGGCAAAGCTACAGAGCAGGAGATTCCTTCTGTCCCCTCATACCTGAGACAACAACTGTCACTGCGAAATCTTCTGTTCTCCTTTTCTAGACCTAACAGGGTGTGATCTTAGAGAAGCAAGCCTTCTAAAAGTCAGCCTAGTTTCATTGTTTTGGTAATTAGCTGGAAAAATATATATATATATATAAATGGACTCATGTAAAAATAGCTGCAGCTTAGTGACCTGAATCTCCTACCATGCTCAGCGTGCCCAGCATAACTCCACCACCATCAAAAACAGCTCTTGCTTCTCTCTCAGACTGTGTGAATGAGAAAAATGCCTGCTAGATGTAGTTGTTTAATTTCTCCTAGCTGCTGTGTTGGAGGCTGCTGCAAACAGTAAGCTGCTTTAGCTTTTGGCACAGCCCTGAGGAGCTTCCAGTTTGCTCAGTGCAGCTGTATACCTGTTGCCTTGGCTTGAGTACTTTATTAGAGAGGAAGAGCAGGGGGTTGTTTGCACGGAAACTTGCTGCTTGCTCTGTCTCACCCTACACTTTCCTTCGTTCTCCAGAGTGCTGCCAAGATGATCAAAGAGATGATGGACAAGAAATTTGGATCTTCCTGGCACGTGGTGATTGGTGAAGGGTTTGGCTTTGAGATCACTCACGAGGTGAAGAATCTGCTGTACATGTTCTTTGGTGGCAGCCTGGCTGTGTGTGTCTGGAAGTGCTCCTGACATCTGGCTGGCTCGCAGACTTGCTGCATACAGGAGATTTCTTCCTTCACAGATTTTGTACAATGTGGAGGTGGGGCTTTAATAGTTAAAACATCGAGATTTCTTTCCATACTGACATAACAGTTCTATGGGATGCATATATTTGGGGGGGGGGTGTGTGTATAACTTGCTAAGCCTGTCCTCGCTCATGGGATTTCTGATCTGTCTGTGGCTCTTTCTTTGGTGTTTGAGTTTAAACAAGAAGGAGGTGTTTAAATAGGTAATCTCATGACACACCATGCAGCAGCACTAGGAAGGCAAACAGGAGGAGAAAAGGTGCTATCTAGTCCTAAGTTTTCTCCTCCCACTTGTTCTACATTGTGTCCTCTCTTCTCTGCCTCCCTGGCTATGTGTGGTATGGTTCTGACCAGTGCCTCTTTCCTCCCTATTAACAGCCCCACCTTCCTGTCTCCTAAATGACCACGCAGAGCTGGCTGCGTCAAGGGTGTCCCTTTGGGTTGTCCGTGGAGATGTTAGCTGTGGGGAATTAGGCTTGTTTTACCCTTTTCTGCTTGATTTGGGAGGACAGCTGAGCTGCCTGGATGTAGGAGGCTGCTATGCAAGCTACCCCCTCCTTTCTCACCCACTGCATGCTGAGATGGCACTGAAACACAGGCGGCTGTCGATGCCTGGGGAGTGGGTGAGAACTCTTCGTACAGCTTGAATGCCTCCCTGTCAGTTCCTGGGGGTGTTGCAAGTGCTGTGTACTTTCAGCATCTTGTTTGGAGGCTGGTAGGGGAAGGAGGTGCCATGTGAGATATCACTTGGTCATCAGAAACCTAACGTCCTTTTGGACTTGCTTTTTTAGCCTGTTTCTTCTTTTAAAGCTGTCAGTGTTGGAGGATGGAGTGAACGTAATTGTATGTTACGTATATGGCTTATTTATATAAATCTGGGGAACTGTGTTTTTTACAATAAAAAAAAATAGTAAATTGTCCTTTTCTGTGTTTGTTCTAAAATAAAAACCCAATGGTGGTGGATGAAAAAGAGAAGCAGTTCAGGAAACATGGAAGTAAGCAAGGAGTGATGTGGCTCAGGCAACAGCTGATGGTGGATACACACCCTGCTTCCTTCCTGGGTGACTCCAAGGGAGCAGAGAAGCACTCTCATCCTTCCCATTCAATTCCTTTTGCAAGGAAGCAAGCCTGCTGAGGAAGGCTACCACGTCCATGGTGTTGCTGACCCAGGTCCTCTGTGTGAGTAGCATCAAGGGGGCGTACCTGCATCCTCTGCCCAGCCAGCGTGCATCTGCTCTGACCTTTGGGGTCTGGCATTTGTGACTTCTTTCACATTTCTTTCATTGTGACTTCTTTCAGACTTTGCTCTGAGGAAAGCCACCAACAGTGCCACCGGCAGCGCATGTTTTATGAGGCCATACTCGAGTACATAGTTCAATTCCAAAGGACTTTTCTGCACTAGGGCCTGCAGTGGATCAAATGTGAAGGGTTTTCCATTTCCCTTAGTTCCTTCTGCGGATCTCAGTGTTATGATAGAGGTGTCTTTCTGCCGTTTCAGCATGTCAGGAACTCTTCTGTCAGGAATTGGAGTAATATAAGTCCACTAGAAATGATTTTGATTTTGCATCATCTGTGCTGGCTGGGCCCCACATCCTGCCATGTAATTCTTTACTGATCAAGTGAAAGGGACTTGTAAGGTAGTGGGGAGGACACAAAACTGGTACCATGTCTGCCAGGTGCCGGGATCGTTGTGCAGTCTGGAGGACTCCAAACCCATGAGCTTGCTGTTGGTGTGATTACTCTGTCTCGCTTCAGCTGGCTGACTTTTAAATGAAAATAGCACTGTTGACTGGCACTTGCTGCAGCTGGCAGGTGGAAAAGCTGGTTTTCTGTTCCAAGACTTTCCACCTCCTTTATGTTTTATGTCTGGATGCACATCCAGAAGAAAAGGTAAAGTCACCATCTTTGGAATGCCCTGTGCTCGCTGGAGCATAGTGATACCTTCAGCCATACCACAGTCTCCTTAATTGTCCTTCTTTCACACTAATGAATAATTAACTGCTGTGTGCATGTCCACAGACAGGCTGGTCATGGGCATCTCTGTGGGGTCATGCTGACCTGCAGATATTCATAGGGAGAGGGAGCTGCTTACCTCAGCATGCAATCTCTTGGCCTTGCTACCAGCCTGTTATCACTTTGGCCACCAGCTGACCGAAGCCAATGTCTCTGTGACCTGCATTTGCAATAGGCAAACGCTGACCAGTCCCCAGCATCCTCAGAGCACGAGCACACAAACAAATCGAGGTGAGCTAGGTGTGAATTTGCAGCAAGTCAGCTCCTACACTGCGACTCCCGCAAGGTAGGCAAGTGCAAGGTGGCTCACAGGAGAGTGCCAGGCTATTTTTGTTTCCAAGGGCAACAGCTCTCCCACAGGAACTTACCACAAAAAGCCACCCCACTTTTGAATGCCTGTTATATGGGAAAGCATAAACCTCAACTTTCCAAAATTCAGCTGTTTGCGTCAAGGCCCCCAAGCAAGTATTTGGTAGGCTCAGCTTTCCTGCTTGTTGCAAGTTGAGTCACGTTGCACTGGCTCCTGTGTGCTACAAGAAACTCCCACCCTCTTTTTGCTGTGGAACTAGAACACAGTTTGGGGCTTTTGCTATGGAACTTGAGCACTTTGAGGCATGCCTGTAATTCACATGGCAGTAAGGTTCATGGATTGGAGATGGTCTCTTCTTGTTCCATGTTATCCTGCAAGTAACCACTCTGCCTCCGATGCTTTGGAGCCTACAAATGCTTTTGACTCTGAAACTGCCATCTCTTGCTGGAGGTTTTTTACCTTAAAAGTTTTTTAGCAGAAATCTGGGGAGGTTGGCACTGAACTGTTCTATTCTAACTATTGTTTTTCCTCTCCCCATTGTGTCTTGCCACCCGGGTGTCGCTGCTATTGCCGTCAAAGCACCGAAGTGAGTCAGAGGTGGAAAAGGAGTTGAAAAGCTCAAGGTGATACATCGGTGCCAGTCAGAATGACCCTTTCTATCCGTCCATCCCAGCAAGCCAGTGTGCAGCGGTCGCAGCTCAGAGGGCTGTGCTCATGACTTCATCCCTCCCTGCCGAGGGGAGATGAGGAGCATCGTTATCGGCTGTCGGCCTGCGTGGCGGGGAGTCCGCGCTCTGTGCCAGCAATGGAAATGTCCTTGGGCGTAGGGCTCCTCCTGCATCCCAAAGGTGACTGGGCCCTGCTGAGAAGGGGTGAAGAAGCTGGAAACATGGAGGAAAGAGGTGCAAATTCAATCGCTTCTCTGTGGTGATGTCATGGCAACGAGGTGCGCTGATGTGCTGTCAGGCAATCAGGGCAGGCTTTGAAGCTCCCCAGCTCTTCCCCTTTGCTGTAGGCTCGCGTCTGGCTTTCTGAAAAATCTTTTGGTTAATATTTAATGGCAGCGTTGAAGTGCAAAGGGTGGCGAGCACCCCACCTATTCCCCTTTCCTCTACATTCCAATTTGATGCTAAATTAGAGTTGGGGAGCGGGGAGGATTATGATTTACCATAGCATGGGAACAGGTCTCCTGATGAGAAGGATGGCTTCAACCCATAGTGAGGAAAAAAGGCTGCAGGCTCTGTGCTGGTGTCCCCGTGTGTGCAGCAGCCCTGATAGCTCAGCAGGAGGGAGCTACCTACATCACAGACCTGTCCCAGTCTGGCTCTGGGATGTGGGAAGGATGCCTTTGTCACCCTCCCTAGCCAAGTTTGGAGCTGATGCTGGGCCACTGGAAGGAGCAGGGGGTCTCCCTCTCCCTTTGCTTTCCCAGAGCTGGCTTTGGAATAAAGGAATCCATGGCCCCTCTCCCAGAGCTGAGCCCCGCTCCTTTGATGCAAGTAGTTAGCACATGTTTTTATTGGCTTTTTTTTTTCTTTCCCACTAAGCAATGACCTAACGATCCTGTGTTCCAACCACAGCCCCTTCTAAGCTCCTTCTTTCCAAAACGTGCATCCAGACCGGATCCAGCAAATCTCCCAGTGCAAGACGCCGTGTTCCCTTCCTCAAGGAAGCCATCTGCTCCCCTCTGCCCGGCTCCTTCTGCATGGCTTGCAGCTCGCCAGCCCTGTGGGAAGCTCTGCTCCTGTTGGCCATGCTGTTTGTGCGTGGCAGGGGGAAGGAAACACAGTGCTGGCTGGATCTGGGGCTGCTGGCAATGTCAGCTGGAGGCGGTTTCCAAGCAACTGTTGTGCTGCAGGACACATAGAGCCAGGAACACCATATTCCTGCTGTCCATGTGGGCTGGACGGAGCCAGCACGGGGCTGGTGTGGAGAGCAGCATGAGTGAGAGAGTAGTGTAGGGCCGTGGCACTGGAGGAGGTCTCCAGACCTGCTCCTTATCTAACTGCCTCCAGCAAGGGGACAGCATGATGTATGGGATTTCACGTGTCCTCTGCATTTTTTGGGGAGATTAAAAAGGGTAAAATTGCTCCAGCTGCTGTTTTATCCTATTTATTTTACCCACTGATGGGCAGTTGCATACGAGCATCCTTGAATAGATGGAGAGGTGGTAACATTGCCCTGGCTGAGCAGTGGGAGCAAAACTAGATGGCGAGTGCATGGATATAAGCACAGTGGGAGCCCAGCAGATAGGATGGAGCTGGGGAGGGGGGGCAGAAGTATGCAAACAAGGAGTGAAAGCAAGGGGAGCTGGGCAGGAAGAAGCCCAGAGAGATGGGACAGTGCAGGGCATCTGTTTGATTGCCAGTGTGCAGGTTATCTGTGACCGTCTCTGTCCCCGACCCACCTGCAGCTATTGATTTGGAACTTGCCCTGTTCATGCTAACCTTGGCACTGCTAGCTCGTCCCTTATAAATCCTGCTGCAGCTCCTACCCCTCTCTCTGTCCTGCCACTAGGGTCTTCCCACAGCTCTGCTTTTTGCTGCGATGTTTTAGATGCAGGACTCTCCCTGATTTCTGCCTGGAGGAGAGACGGGGCAGTGGAAGCACTGACTCTCTTTGCCCCGTGTGGGTGCCTGCCCCTTGGCAAGGAAGGATGCGGCGCCAGCTGCAGACACTTGTCCAAAGGAAGTTTAAAGTCCTCCTCCTCCTGCTGCTGCTCCTGGCCTTTCTGCTGCATGTCACGATGGACTTGGCTCTCCCTGAGAGTCGCAGGCTCTGCAGCTGCGATGCAAAAGCACCAAAAGCCTTGGGTACCCCCACAGGCAGCCCTTTGCTGGCCAGCCTTGAAAAGCTGAGCCTACGCATCCTTCAGGACTTCAGTGGCAGCAACGGTTCCTTGGAGAAAAGCTCCCAGCCTCAGGGAGCAGGGCCACTGGGAAAAGATGGGTTCGTGGGGATCCAGCACCAGCATGGAGACGTCAGCCCAGCATGGGCCAAGGGATCCAAGTTGGCTGCACTTTTTGAGCATCCCCTTTATAACATCCCGTTGCCGGAGGTGAAGGACAAAGACAAGCTGTTTGTCGTCAATCCCATGGAAAAGTTCAGCCTACGGAGCAGTGGGAGCGATGAATGGTGAGGAGTGGGCTGGTCTGGGGGGATGAGTGGAGCTTCTCGAGGGGACACATGGCAGGGAGCAAACAAATTATTTCCTTGCTTGGCTCAGCATCCCACCTGGATAGCCCCAGTGCCTCAGATCTTATCTCAGCCCCGTTTCCAGGCTGCTGCCCCGGGGAGCTGTAGGGAGCCTCCTGCCCATGTGGCACATGGTGAAGTCCAAGGGGAGGCCTGAATTATTCATACTGTTACATATAATATCTTCTAGGTCATCTCCTCCTCTCCTTACCCAGCACTGGGCTCTCACTGTAAATTTCTGGGAACTTCCCAATGCAGACTTCTGACCAGTTTGATCCCCCTCTCTCACCCACCTCATGTTGAAAATGCAAAACCCCAAATGTCAGCTGGCTCTTGACACGAGACCACGGCAGTCCCGTGTTTCTCAGGGCAATTTCTGACCTCTTTAGACTCTGCTGGGTGGTGAGCTCACCACTGCTGGGTGCCTATTTTTGTCCCTGCACTACTAACCTCTAATTAGAAAGGAAGATATTAATGGAGATACCTTGGGTAATACGCAGCAGATTCCTTATGGAAAGCACACCTTCCAGAGGTGTCCCACCACTAAGATGGTGGGACCAGATAACCCAAATTCATGCCACAGAGAAACCAGGGGGTGCCATGGGTCTGGCCAGGGGGAGTCAGTTACAAGTGGGAGCTCAGGATGCTGCTGGGAAGCATTCTTTTATGGATGTTTTGTGTTCCCCTTTAACTGTGCATAGCTGATTGCACACCTGGGAGCTGATCCCCTGGGGTGAGATCAGCTGGAAATTGAGGACCAGCTGGGAGACCATGGGGACTTTCTGTGGGGGACACAAAGGTGGCCATCCGATGCCAAGGGGACCTGCCCTAGGGGCTTCTGTCACCAATCACCACCCAGGCCTTGTGCCGGCTCTTCCCAGAAAGAGCCTGGGAACAAGACCCCATCCCAACTAAATGTTGCTGTTGTTGGGGTGGTGGTGGCTTTTGGGCTGCAGGGTCAGCAGCAGTAAAGCCGAGATGGTCCTCCCGACAGGGAAGACAGCCTACGACACCTACCCTGCCTGGCTCAAGTTCCACGTCGGCATCAACCGCTACGAGCTGTACCCGCGCAGGGACCCCCTGATGCCCACCCTCCTGCAGGACCTGGCCACCATGAAGATTGTCAGCTCGGGTATTCGCCCTTACCCACGCCCCTGTCCCATTGGCCTCCCCACCAGGCCCAGTCACCCTCGTGTGCCCCCTTCCAGTGCAGAAGTCTGGCGGTACCCAGCTGAAGCTCATCATGACCTTCCCGAACTACGGGCAGGCCCTCTTCAAACCCATGAAGTGAGTAGAGCTTGACTTCAGCCCCAGTGCTGGAGGCCCCCTCCCCTACTGTTGGCAGCAGGCTTGGTGCAGCTTGTGATGGGGTAGTGACCTCCAGTGGTGGGAAGGAGAAGACGATCCATGAGGACCACTTCCCAGCCCTTCTCCCAGAGGGATTTGGGGCTGCGCCGTGCAGCGGGATACACCTGTGCCTGGTCATGTCTTGGTAGCACCACAGACACAGCACAAGGGGTGGTTTGCGAACAAGCAGGAGGTGATCCATTCTTTGGCCACCATCCCTGCCCTCCCCAAATCTTCTCAGGCAGAGCAGGGAACAAGAGACCCCCGCTGACTTCTTCTACTTCTCAGACTTTGAGCGGCACAATGCAGAGATTGCAGCCTTTCACCTGGACAGGTGAGTTCTCGTGTGGCCCGCACCCAAAAAAGGGCCTCAGCCCCTGGGGGCTGAGGTGGAAAACCTCAGCCTTGGGTGCTTGGTGGAAAACACGGCCAAAAATCTTCCCTCTGGGGCCTGTAGCCTGCCAGCAAACCTGACATCCAGCCCTGGCCAAGAAACGGCTCCTTCAGCCACCTCTTCCTCCTCTATTGCAAGGACGCCTGCATCTCATGGCGCTTGTACTGACTGGGTGTAAAAAAATGGCTCCACTGGCAAGAAATTGTGCTGAGTTTTGTGTTTTAGGATCCTGGATTTCCGACGAATCCCACCAGTTTCTGGTCGCTTGGTGAATATAACAAAGGAGATCCGGGACATCACGACCGACAAGAAACTGGCCAAGACTTTCTACATCTCCCCAGGTGAGCTCTTGCTAACCTTTGGCTCTCACACAAGGGCAGGCACCCATCTGGGGATGGCTCCAGCTGCCACCGCGTCCCCATCTATGGAGCTGGTTCTCAAGAAGAGTCCCCATGCTATTGCTTTATGCATGTGGCATGGTGAGAAGCTTCATCTGGTTCTTGTTCAGTCATCAGCCTGTGCTTGTCCCCCATGCCAGCGGGCAACGTCTGCTTCTACGGGGAGTGCTCCTATTACTGCTCCACCGAGCACGCTCTGTGCGGCAAGCCGGACCAGCTGGAGGGCTCCATGGCAGTCCTGCTGCCCGACAAAGCTCTGGCCAAGCGTCGCTCCTGGCGCAGCCCCTGGCGCCGCTCCTACCACAAGAGCAAGAAGGCTGAGTGAGCTGGGACCTGGGGGGACACAAAGGGACTCGAGGAGCACGGGAGGGCTGGCCCTGTGGTCGCTCTCATGTACCCATTGTCCATTCTTTGCATGAAGGTGGGAGCTGGACCCCAACTACTGCACCCAGGTGCGCCGGACGCCGCCTTATGACAGTGGTCATCGCCTCCTTGACCTCATCGACATGGCAGTACTTGATTTCCTCATGGGTGAGAGCATCCCTCCAGTTTCTTCTCACTTTCCAGTAGATGATGGGAAAGGCAGTGGTCAGGCTTTGCACCGTGAAGGCACTCTGCCTGCTTGTCCCCACGGCCTGGTCCCCACCTGATGGCATGTTTGGGGCTGAAGAACCGGTGGCATGTTGCATACATTGAGTCACAGAATTGAGTTGGAAAGGACCCTTAAATGTCATCTAGTCCAACTGTCCTGCAATGACTGACATGAGTGAGGCTGCTTTGCCCTGTACCACCACAATGTCGGGGTGCTTGTCTCCTGCCAAAACTCAGCGCAGGATGACATCGTGCAGGAGTTGGCATGGGGCCATGCGGGTACCCATCCCAGCACCCCACTGCTGCCACCCTCTGCTCACCCTTTCAGGCAACATGGACCGGCACCACTATGAGACCTTTGAGAAATTTGGGAACGACACCTTCTTGCTTCACCTGGACAACGGCCGCGGGTAGGAGAGAGGGGAGCACCCAGCCACCTTAAATGGATAGAGCTGGGGCTGAGGGATGCCAAGAGTCAAAATGAGAGCCAATGCAGGGTGATCCTACGCACACCCCGATGCCAACCCTTGGGTTTCTCCCTCAGCTTCGGCACGCACTCTCGTGACGAGATGTCCATCCTGGCCCCGCTCCAGCAGTGCTGCAGGTAAGCGGCTCCCACCACCATGTTCCCATTGGGGAAAAACCCACCCTGATGTCAGGCTCTCTCCCCCGCATCGGCAGCATCAAGAAATCCACCTACCTGCGGCTGCGGCTGCTGGCCACCGAGCCCTACCGCCTGAGTGAGCTGATGCGGGAAGCACTGGCTGCCGACCGCCTGGCGCCCGTCCTGGCCGAGCCCCACCTGCAGGCATTGGACCGGCGCCTGGGCAAGGTGCTGGTAGCTGTGGGACGCTGCCTGGCCACGGCAGCACAGCCCCACCAGGTGCTGGTGGATGACACAGGGTCGTGGCTGTGACGTCACGGAGACGGTGACGTGGTGTGATGGCAATCATCAGCCTGGGAAGAGCTTGGAGTGCGTGGTATTGGATGATGCAAGGGGAGAAGGGCGGGTGCGCGCGTTATTTAAATAAATAGGTCGGCCTCGTGGAGGAAACATGATTTGGGATCCCGGCCAGTGGAGCTGTTTTTCCAGTCCCGGATTCACGTGGCACGGCCATCCCTCCAAATCCCTTTATAATGAGAGAAAAAATTTTCATAGACTCACAGAATGATTGGTTATGGAAGGGACCTCAAAGCCCACCCAGTCCCACCCCGTGCTGTGGGCAGGGCTGCCACCCAGCAGCTCAGGCTGCCAAGGGCCCCATCCAACCTGGCCTAGAACCTCCAGGGATGGGGCACCCACAGCTCTCTGGGCAGCCTGTGCCAGTGCCTCACCACCCTCTGAGTAATGTATTTCCACCCAAGACCTAGCCTAAATCTCCTGTCTTTTAGTTTAAAGCCATTCCCCCTCGTCCTGTGCATAAAGCTGGTCCCCTTTCTTGCAGTCAGTCCCTCCAGCCTTTCCCCAGCCCACAGTTAATGGGGCCTTTGGTGAGCTTTCACGTGGTTCACCCAACCTGCAACGCTCATCCCTGCCCACGCTCTTCCCACACCCACCCAAAAATCCCAGCGGGCGCCGCGTCCCTCCCGCAGAGGTGGCTCTGGGATCCACACCGGGCCCAGCACCATATATAGTGCCCGGCTCCCGGCTTATCCACTAATCCTGGCCGGGGTTAATCTGCGGTGGGTCTGCGTCAGCCGGGACAGGTGCTGTGGGACGGGGGCTTCGTGCCCCATGCTGGGGATGAGTGGTGGGGATGGGTCTCTGGGGTGGCGGCGGGGGCACGAGGTGTCCCCAGGACACGGTGCAGAAAGCAGCAAATTGGGCGAATTGGTCGCTAATGAGCTATGGGGAAAGGGGGGGGAAGGCAGCGGCTAATGGGGCCTGGGAACGGCAAGGGGAGATCGGGGCTAGAATTAATGGGCTGGAAGGAGAGGGGGGGGATGGAAAAAAAAAAAAAAAAAAACAACAAAGAAACAAGGGACAAAAAACCCCAAGAACTTGGAGAAAAAGAAAAAGGGGGAGGGGGGGGGGAGAAAAGAAATAGCAGACAAAGGCGCGCTCTATGCGCGCCGCACACGGGGACGCTCCGAGCGCAGCGCTGCGCCTCGCGGGACCCCCCCGCCCCCCCTCCCGGAGCGGCCGGGGCGGAGCATTGGGGCTGGGCGGGAGCCGGGAGGGGGAGGGGGGAGAGAAGGGGGAGGAGGAGGAGCGGGGGGGCCGCGTCTTGCAAAACAAAAGGGAGAGGAGCGGCGCGGGGAGCGGGCGGCTCCGCGGCTGTCCTCGGCCGTGCGGTGAGTGCTGCGGGAGGGATGGGGAGGGGTCCTGGGTTTGGTGGGGTGGGGTCTGGGGGGCTCTGGGAGTGAAGAGGTCTTGGGGCATGGGGGGGTACTGGGTGGGGTGGGAGGAGTCCGCTCGTGTCTCGGTCGTGGGGCTGCCTGGACCAGCGTGGGGGGGGGCATAAAGGGACAGCGCAGCTGTCACTGCCCCGTGAGCAGGTGCTCCTGGGTGCGCTCGGGTTGGCCTCGTGCGTCCCTCGGCACGGGGGTACTTAGGGGTGTCCCCGAGCGTGGCTGCTCCCCTCTCCCCCCCCATAACACTGTTCCCCCCCGTGTGCCCCCCAGGTGAGCCGCTGTCCCCCCGCCATGTCGCGCCGCAGCCAGCGCCTCGTCACCTCGCGCCTCTATCCAGAGGATGAGGACGGCACCAGCTCCCTGCTGGGCGGCCCGCAGCTGCCCTTCAAGGAGAGCACCGCCAGGTTCGGGGGTACCGTAGAGACGTGGGAGCGGGGGGGAAGGGGGCTGGTTCAGGCTTTTGGCACCCAGCAGCTTTGGGCCCGATGGCGGGAGGGAGGGAAGCGCTGCGAGCGCCGTGCCGGAAAACCGCAGCGGTGTAAGCGGAAGCGGGGCCGGGGGCTCCCCACCTTTCGGGGTTTCGCAAAGCAGCGGTTGCGCCGTGCCGAGCATCCTCCCAGCCCTGCAGCGCTCCCGGTGCCGGCATCGTAAGCCTTGCCTCCGCTATGTGACGCCGATCGGCTGGTTCTCATCCCGGCAGGACGGCGGCGAGGAGGAAATCAAGCGGCACCAAGCGGCTGTCGCCCGGCCCCAGCACTCAGACCTCCTATTACAGCGAGTCCTTGGTGAGCGAGTCCTACCTGGGGGGCAGCCGGGGCCTGGCCGCGCTGGATGATGCTCTGGATGGCAGCACTTACTGGGGTGAGCCTGTCCTCCTGTGACGTCTGTCACTTCAACCCTTGGGGCATCCCAGTTGTTTCAGAGTGGCTGTTTTCTGAGCTGTTTCTATGGGATTTTTTGGGGTGGGTAAGCAGGCAGGGAGCTCTCCACCAGGAGGAGAAGGGATACAGGGGACACGGAGTCCAGCAAAGTCAACGGGCTGCTGGAGAGCCGAACTTATGACACCTACGCCTCCTCCTCGGGGTACTCCTCAGAAGACGACTATGCAGGTAGGAATGCGGTGGTGGGATGCTGGGGATCACAGAGTCCCAGCCCCTATATCAAACCCAGGGATGTGGGATCCATTCCAACTCTTGCTGCCTCTCCTCATGTAGAATCCCAGAATCATTAAGGTTGGGGACCTTAATGGGGTCCCCATAAGGGGGAAACTTCTAGGATTAGCTAGTCAACCATCAGCCCATCCCCACCATCCCACGTCCCTCAGTGCCACATCCACACGGTCCTGGAACACCTGCAGGGACGGTGACTGCACCACCTCCCTGGGCAGCCTGTGCTGCTGCAGCACCACTTTTTCTGAGAATAATTTTTTCCTTATATCCAACCTGAACCTCCCAGGACGCAACTCAAAACTGTTACCTCTTGTCCCTATCTCCCTCCAGGACAGCTCTACTCTGCCCACAGCAGCTCGGGGTCAGGGCTGAGGACAGCCGCCTCCAGGGTTGGCTCCTTCCTGTGGCGGGTGTTCACTGCACCAGGTGAGTGAGGGCCTGAGGGGGAAGGGGTTTTTCTCCTCTGCACACTTGTCCCGTGCCTGTGTGGAGGTTTGTTGTCCTACAGGGCTGCTTTACTCTCATGCCGACTTGCTGTTGACCATGTAGCAGTTGGTTTCTTCCACATCTTGCAAATCTGAGGCAGGGAGAGAAGGGGATGCTGCATGCATTGATTGTCTTCCTCCAGAGAGCAGCCCTGGAGGCAGAGGGGATGTCCTGGGGTTCCTCTGATCCTGCTTGTCCTCCCCCAGCCCGATTTGTAGGATGGCTCCTGTCCTGTGTAGCCACCGCCTGGCACCATGTCACTGGAAGGGCTCCCCAGCTACAGCGCGTTCCCCTGTCCAGGTGAGTGGGATCCCAGCCCCAGAAGTATCCCACCACTGCAGGACACAGCCCATAGCCCTCTTTCTTCCCCACTCTGCAGGCGCTACCCACGGCTGAAGAAGTCCCTGTGGTTGCTGCTGCTCCTCTTGCTCCTTGCTGCAGTTGCTTATGGTAAGCCCACTGTCCCCTCATCCCACCGTGACATGAGGCTGGAGAGCCATTGTCCCCGTGCTGGGATGGCAGTGAGCTCAGTGCTTGTGGCTCCTGTCCCCCATCACCATTTGACTGTTGAACCATCTCGTCCCCTGCGTGCCCAGGAGCGTGGTACCTGTACCCGTATGGCCTGTCAGCACGCAGCCTCCCCATCTTCTCATGGTGGGGAGCGGGACGCTTCTCCTCCTCAGACGTGCCCGGGGCACGGGACATGACTGCACTGGACCAGGTACAAACTGGTTGCCTTTGGGGCGGAATGGCTGGGGCCAGTCACCCAAGGAAGCTCTGTGCCCATGGGTGCAGCCCCTAAAGTTTGGTACATCCCAGAAATGGAGGGAGGGGAAGCAGTAACGGGGCACAGCCACTCATGTAGACCCGCAAGGCGCCCGGGGGCTGCATGGCATTCTCCTTCCCATCACAGGGGCTGCGAGGAGAGCAGCAGCTCCTGGCCCGTTTCCAGGCCCTGGAGAAGCGTTTTGAGGCACTGGAGGCTGCGGTGTCACGCTGGGAGCTGGGGGTGGCCGGGGGTGAACCCCCACCGACAGGAGACGTGCTGGGCCTCTTGGAGGGGCTGTTAGACCGCCGCCAGGCCGGCATGGAGGAGCGGCTGCGCAGTGACATGACCGAACACCTCCAGGTGAGGGGAGCAGGGTGGTGCGGGCATGGGGATGTGATGGGATGGGTTGTGATGTCCCCATCTCATCCTTGTCCCGCAGGGTGAGCTGGACGCCCTGCGGACGCAGCTGCAGGCTGATGTGGATAAACGTCTGGGGAAGATGGCGCAGGCCTCGCAGGTGAGTGATGTGCACCCTGTAGGGGTCCTTGGGGCTGGTGGGCAGCATTCATGTGGACTCTTGTGCCTTTGTGCTGGCAGGAGATGGAGGCCCGTCTGCAGGAGCTGAATGCAGAGTGGCAGAGGTATTGTTGCTCAGTGTGGGGGGAAACCCCACTGTTTAGGGTGGGGTAGATCTCAGCCTGGCATTTGGGGGCATTTGGTGGTGCTTGGTGGCATTTCTCTCATTGTGCTGGTGGCACAGGTCTGTGCAGGAGGAGCTGCAGGGCCGCTGGCAGCAGGCGACGGGTGAGCTGCAGCAGGAGGTGTCAGCACTGAGGAGGGAGCTGGCAGGGCTGCGCTCAGACCAGGAGGCTGTGAGCAAGCACCTGGAGGCTGTGCTGGAGCAGATCAAAGCAACACGGGCTGATGTAAGTCCAGGACGTCCCCCCTTTTAGAGACCCTCACCCCCACCCAGTGCTCTATTTGAGGCAGAGGTGAGGGTCTCTGCCCCACAGCTGAGCCCTGTGCCACACTGCAGGTGGAAGCACAGATGCCAGCATGGATCAGCCACTTCTTGGCACAGTCCCGGCAGGACGACGGCACAGCTGGGCTGCTGCTCCAGCGGGAGGACTTGCAGGCAGAGCTGCGCGCCCTGGAGCTCCGGATCCTTGCCCAAATGCGGGAGGAGCGTGGGCTGGCAGCACGGGACAGCATTGGTGTGGCCCTGCGGCAGGGGGGAACCGGGGGGGTGACAGAAGAGGTGAGTGATGGCCGAGCACTGGGAACATGGATGGGGATTCCATGGAGCTTGCAAACAACCAGGGCCACCTTGTTTGCTCTGTCCCTAGCAGCACTGCTGAGTCATTTGGGGCAAAATGTTGCAGCAGGATGACAGCAGAGGAAAAAATGAGCCTGTTTGCTTTGGAAATGTTTGTTGG